CGGCGCAGCCCTCGCCCGACCAGTCCAGCCTGGACGTGGCCGATGCCACGCTCATCAAGCAGGAGTCCATCTACGAGCTGATGCTGGAGCCAGCCCTGTTTGCCCACGGAGGGCTGGAGGGCGGGCAGCTCGCCGCCGACATCTCCGTCCTGGAGATCGGTGAGAGCCCTGGCACTATCCCTGGCACCGTCCTGCCACGATGCCCTGGGGGGGGTGTTTTGGTGGCAGGGTGCTGGGTGCCCTGTGGGTTGCATCCAGCCCCGGGGTGCCTGCACCAGCGAGGGGCAGCCCCAGGTTTGGCTCTTGGAGCAGCCCCAAGCCCATCCCCTGCTCCAGCCGAGGAGCTGATGGAGCTCAGCGTGCCCGAGGCCGTGTGGAACGTCCCCCCCATCTGTCCTTGTATCCCCCCGATGCCACGCGGGAGCCCCTCTGCCCTCCCGGCCCTGGTAGTCCCCTGAGGACACCCAGGAGAGGATGGCGTTGGGGTGTGGGGACAGGGGGAGCCGTGGGGTGCCCCGGGCTCACCTCCTGCTGCCCTCTCCTTGCAGACCGGGTGGCCCAGAACGTGGTGAAGTCGCACCTGGAGACGTGCCAGTACACCACGGAGGAGCTCAAGCGCCTGGCGTGGAGCCTCTACTCCCCCGAGGAGGTCCGGGCCCTGCAGAGCAAGGTGAGTGATGCTGCCACAGAGTGGCACCCCCCGGGCTCCCCGCCGTGGCCAGAGCCACTCACAGCCCTCCACGAGGGCCACCACTGTCCCCCGGTGCTGCGCTGAGGAAGACGAGGAAGATGAGGGAGGTTTTTTGATGCTTTTGGAGCTATCTGGGGGTGTGTGGGTGGCAGCTCGTGCCCCAGGTGTCCACCCCACCATGGTGGCACAGCACCTGGGTCCCTTCCCTGCCCCGGGCAATGGCGTGGGGGGGGTGGCAGTGGAGGCAGGGTGGCAGTGAGCCCTGAGGGGTGCCCCCGCTGTGCCCGCAGAGCTGTGAGGCCATGTGGCAGCAGTGCTCGCTGCAGATCTCCAACGCCATCCAGTACGTGGTGGAGTTTGCCAAGCGCATCGACGGCTTCATGGAGCTCTGCCAGAACGACCAGATCATCCTCCTGAAAGCCGGTGAGAGAGAGAGAGAGAGGGACCCCGACACCCCCCTCCAGTGTCCCCCTCGTGTCCCCAGCCCCTGGGCTCAGTCGGGGGGTGCTGGGCTGGAAGGAGCTGAAGGTCATGTTTAAAGGCGATGGTGTAGAGAGGGACGTGGGGAGTGGCTGCCCCAGGCAGAGGTTTTCTCCATGGTTGCCTTCAACCCAATGTCACCAGCAGCCAGGATGGAAACGAGCACAGTGGGTTTTCCCTCAGGAAAAGGAATGCCAGCCCAAAGGGGAGCAGGGAGGGAGAAGAGTCTGGGAAGAGGAGGACAGTGGCAGCACATGCCCACCTCCCTCACCCATCTGTCTGCCCGAGCTGCTGATGCCGTACCCAGGCGAGGGAGCTGAATGTGCAAAAGCCCCAAAAATGCCAAGAAAAGGTGGAAAAGCCTCCTACATTCTGAACTTCCAGGGCTGGGAAGATCAGATCAGAGCCTCTCCCAGCACAGGGGACATGCCAGCATCCCACGGGGTGCTGCAGCCCGAAGCCAGAGCTGGCCATGGCAAACACAGTGGAGCTTAACTCATTCTTTCATTTCTTCCTTCCATTTTTCTTTTTCTTTCTGTTGCTCTCACCCTCTCCTCTCAATGCTCCCCCATGACCTCGATGGATCCCTGTGTCTGGATCCCATTTCCCTGTGATGAAAAATCACCGTCACGTTTGGAAACCTCACCCCAAACCGCCTTCGTTGGAACAACCATTCTGCTGGTGGGAATGCACAACCTGGACCTGAAACCCGCCCTGGGGGCTTTCCTCTGTGCTACGTGTGGTCCTGGGATGATGGAACCCCCCCTGGCCTGCCCTGCCTGGCTCAGGGTGCCTGGAGGTGCTGCTGATCCGCATGATCCGCGCGTTCAACCCCCTGAACAGCACCGTCCTCTTCGAGGGCAAGTTCGGCGGCGTGCAGATGTTCAAGGCGCTCGGTAAGAGCTGCTCTGCTGCTCTCCAGGGGCTCTTCTTTCGGTGCCTGCACGGGGCTGGGGTGTACAGGCAGCATCTGAGCATTAGAAATAGTCCCCAGCAGGAGCAGGGCAGGGATCGTCCCCCTGCACTTGGCACTGGGGAGGCAGCCCATCGAATCCTGGGGTCGGTTTTGGGCCACGCACTCCAAGAAGGACTTTGAGGGGCTGGAGCATGGCCAGAGAAGGGCAATGAAGCTGCTGGGGAAGGGTCTAGAGCCCAAGTGTGGGGAGGAGCAGCTGAGGGAGCTGAGGGTGCTGAGCCTGGAGCAAAGGAGGCTCAGGGGAGACCTTGTGGCTCTGCACAGCTCCTGAGAGGAGCCTGGAGCCAGGGGGGGGTG